TAGAATTCCACTTTGAGAGTCATCAAAGTGGTGGGGCTTGGGAACAAAATTGGGATTTTGCTGCCAATCCCAGATACGGTTTGCTGGAGGATACTGGACATCATAGGCTGGTTGTGCTGGTAGTTGTGGTTGTGGTGGGCTGGTGGATGACGCTCCACTTTGTCCTTGAACTGAGGAGTCAGCAGCGTGGGTCCCAGCCTGGGCTGGTGAGTCACGCATGGCCGTGGCACTACCATCACCACTACCACCACCTACTGATGCCTGTGGTCTATCCATGCCAAGTGTAGCCACATCATCCTCACTTTCACTGTCTATTCCTGGTGTTGGGCCACGGGATGTACTCCGTCCCCTGGGCACTGCATAGGGAACACTACCCGAGCGCATGCAGCGGGGTATATACCGACGCTTCACTGGTGAATATGTTTCCTCATTATCACTACTCGAATGATCGTCAAGAGCAATAAAATCACAATCCAAGTCACTATCATCATCATTACTGAAGTCAGAGGCCTGGCCACGCGAAAATAATAGTTTTCTCTTGCGATGAGGTACAACTGACTGTGACTGAGGAGTGCCCACACCAGAGGTAGAAGGTTGAGGGTTGAGGGTTTTCTGCACTATTATCGATATCCTGGTCATTCCTTTCAGTCACTAACTGATCAAAGCCAAAGAATTCGTCTTCATTTCCACTTCCATCAGAGTCAGAACTATCAGACAGGAAGAGGAGTGTCCCAATTTTCCTTGGAGTGAGAGCTGCCTTGCGACGAGGCATGGTGAACAAAGGTAACTGAGTCGGCGTTCCCACAATGCTATGGGGGCACCTAGAATTTTTGTTTACGCTGCACACACACCACGCAGACCCGTTCTCTCTCATGTAGGCCTACCAGTGTTTTCACACTAAATTTGACGCCACTAGAATTTTGGTGTAGATCTACGGTTTGGACCCTGAACATAAAGCTGTAGATCTACGGGACGGACCCTGCAGGGGTTAAATATATTTCTAGATATTTATCATGGCAAAAATATACTTTCATGCCTAAGTACAACTTACACTACTGATAAATACCTTTGGATGGTCCAATTAAGTCTGACAAGGAATTAGCTAATTGTGTTCGCTTCTGATTTTTGATGAACTGAAAGCCGGAAGCAACAATTTCAGCTCACAGTAGACAAAGTACAATAGCATCCAAGACACTCAATAAAAAAACATTCATAATTGTACTTATTATTCTACAAATTTGGATTTTTTTTTTAAATAAATAAATTCTGTTCTGAATTGCAGGTTATACTTTTATTTATACTGAAATGGAAAATGGTAAATAAAGAAGTATGAAACTGTTGTTTTACCTCTGAGTTTAATCATTTAGGTAGATTCTGAAAAAAAATATTTGCCAGGTTAGGTGAATGACTTTCAATGTCTCCATTAACAGTGGAAGACATCAAGAAAATGCTGAATATCACTGCTCTAAACAATAGGGCATCTGTCATTAACATTAGCCATTTATTTGTTCTCTGTTTTATTAAAATGACAGACCACATACTGTATACAGCTTTTGTTCTGAGTTCTTTGAAAAGGCAGTTTTAATCTGTTACCTTCATTATTATTTTTTATTTTTAATACTGCTAGACTACCTTGTCTCACTGTCAGGCTTTCACACTTCAACAAGTCTCACACTTCCTCACTGAATCTCCCCCTTCCCCCTCCAAAAAAAATACAGCAAATTTGATAATCAGTCTATGGCAAGGGTATAAAAGACCTACACCATGCTTAAATGTAATTAAAATTTAAATAAAATTTTAGGTACAGTACTGTAATATAGCAGAATAAAGCTACAGCCAGGTCTTGACTAGTGCAAATAATGAACCCCATGAAGTGGTAGGCAGCATTATTCAAATTTACACTTCTTTATTTCAACACACCAGCTGCATCCCACTGAAGCAAAGTGGCCCAAAAAGAAAAACAAATTTTCTCTTTATAAATTTAGTAATGTATACAGGAGAAGGGGTTACTAGCCCCTTGCTCCTGGCAGTTTAGTCGCCTCTTACGACACACATGGCTCAAGGAGGAAGAATTCTGTTCCACTTCCCCATGGAGATAAGAGGAAATAAACAAGAACTAGTAAGAAAACAGAGAAAAAAAAAAAAAACAGAGGGGTGTGTGTGTATATATATGCTTGTACATGAATGTGTAGCGTGATCTAAGTGTAGCAAGACATACCTGAAATCTTGCACATTTATGAGACAGAAATAAGACGCCAGTAATTATACCAACATATAAAACAATTACTTGTCAGGACAGTAGTACCTCCCTGGGTGGTTGCTGTCTACCACTGTTCGAACTATTCGAATAATAAGTAATTTTTGCATATGTTTTGAAAAGTTTAAGGAAAACTAGCATTAATTAATTTCACACTAAATAAAAATTTTCACTATTCAAACTTGCACTAATTGAGACCTGGTGGTATAATGATATAAAATTGATCAAGTCTAGTTAGCTGGTTTTAAGTCTTGGAGGTGGGAAACAGGCACAGTGTCTACACTGTGAAAGTCAGTCACTCAATATCAATCAGTAAGATATTTCATAATATGCAGTACAGTATAAACAGCTCACACATTACATGCCACACAAAATAAAATGTGGAGGCTACAGTGTGGTATGTCATTGAAATTGTGATATACTTTTGGCAAGACAGCTCATGAATAAATAATGGTGGGGGTTTCCATTTTTTTTGGATCACTCTTATCTTAGTGGGCAACAAATAGTGAAAAAAATTACATACAGTAGTCCCCCCATATCCGCAGGGGATACGTTCCAAAACCTACTGTGGATAGCAGCAAACCCTATATATAAGCCATTTATTGTTTATATAAAGTTTAAATCTGTAGGGGAAGGAAGGCGGGTGGGGGTCGTCCTCGAAAAGGTTGGAGGGAGGGGGTAAAGGAGGTGTTGTGGGCGAGGGGTTTGGACTTCCAGCAAGCGTGCGTGAGCGTGTTAGATAGGAGTGAATGGAGACAAATGGTATTTGGGACCTGACGATCTGTTGGAGTGTGAGCAGGGTAATATTTAGTGAAGGGATTCAGGGAAACCAGTAATTTTATATAACCGGACTTGAGTCCTGGAAATGGGAAGTACAACGCCTGCACTCTAAAGGAGGGGTTTGGGATATTGGCAGTTTGGAGAGAGATATTGTGTATTTTTATATGTATATACTTCTAAGCTGTTGTATTCTGGGCAGCTCTGCAAAAACAGTGATTATGTGTAAGTGAGGTGAAAGTGTTGAATGATGATGAAAGTATTTTCTTTTTGGGGATTTTCTTTCTCTTTGGGTCACCCTGCCTCGATGGGAGACAGCCGACTTGTTGAAAAAAACAAAAATAAAGTTTAAACTGATAAATTATGCAAAATAGGCCTAGAATTAGCTCTTTTTTCATGGCTTCTCTTAGGCTTTGAAGAATTGTCAGCATCGCTACTATTGTGCTTCGGTGTCAGTCCTGTTCTATCACAGCAGTAAATTTAGGTCTAGATATGAGAGAATGGGCCTATGCAGTAAGTGTGCACCCCATAAAAAATTCTGCAGCATGCAGTGCATGAGAAAAAAGTGTGACTATGTTTTTGGTTTAAAACAGCAACTTTCCAATGTATTTTCGTATGGTTTTAATGGTTGTATTCTTGGTTTCTTGGTCTCATTTGACAGAAAAGAAGATATATTACACAAATAGAGATGATTTTGATTGGTTTCAAGACTGAAAGTAGCTTGAAATTGAGCTCAAAGTAGCGGAAACTTTCAACTTTTGCCGATATTCTAAAGCACACAAATGACGTCACTTGTCCAATACACATCCACCTGGCCAGTCAAGTACACATTTAGGAATACATTGGCATTATTTATACAATTATTGCAACAATGTAGTTGTCGGCATAACAGTAAATCTTCCATTTTTTGTGTGCATAAAAATTCAAAATGGAAAGCAAGCATAATATAAGAGGGGCTGGAGATGTGACTAATGAACAGAGAAAATATTATTTAGTGCCAGGAATGTCTGCACTATTCATTCTGGACCAAATTTTGAAACTGGCATTTTCTGAATTTTGTGTGAAACTGGCCAAATTACTATTTTCTAATCACTTTACTGGGTAGTTTAAATAACTGAATGGGCAGTTTCTTGTACTCAGTCACTAGAATGGAAGACATACTAGCAAAATAGCTATGAATTTTGTCAACTGGAACACCGTAACTGAGCTAAAATCACACTTGAAGTGGGCCAAATTACCAATGCATAAATATCACTGACACAGCAAAATTCGCAAAAGCGTAATTTCTTCAGTTTTACATCAAATTTTGTACTTTTTGTTTTATTCCTTTTTTCAACAAACTGGCCGTATCCCACCGAAGCAGGTGGCCCAAAAAGAAAAACGAAAGTTTCTCTTTTAACTTCAGTAATGTATACAGGAGAAGGGGTTACTTGCCCCTTGTTCTTTTTGTTTTATTACCTTCAGAAAAAGATTCTCTACCATTTCATAAGAATTTTTTTTTTTTTTTAAATTTTGCAATCCCTAAGAGCAAGTTTGAGAGCAGGGGTCACAACCCTGAAAGTGCTAAGCAAAGTTAAGGGTTATTTTTGGGTCATAGTAAACTCTGGATAACTGAAACAGCAGATACAAAATCCTCAGATGCAGCGGTTCTACTGTAATGGCAAAATTTTTGTACTGTCTCTATATCTACAATAGTCTCAGCCTAAATATACTCCTAAAAATATTTTACTGTAAAATAAAGAGCATTCATTCATTAAAAGAAAATGTAGAGTATAAATTGACAATATATCTCACACTTCCTCATTACAACCCAGTTTACACTGGAATTGAGGCAATATTATAAAGTAAGATATTTTTAGACAAACTCTTGGATAACTGGAGATAATGTCACTTGAAAAGTCATTCCCTAAATATGTAACTCTTGGAAATGATCAGGTTGGTACTGAGGCAAGAATTAATAGCTTACCTTTAAAAATGGTCTAAGACCTAGTCTTGCTGGTAATTCAGGACCACAATTCTTATGGATGTAGGAGCCCAAAACAACCAAGAAATCAAAGGAGAGTGTTCCAACATCAGCTCCAAAGCTTGTTAAACCTAATTCTATAGATGCCAGCAAATTCTGCAAAACAAAACAAAAAACAAAAAATCAATAAGAAATGTTGACACTAGTAATATCACCAATTTCCAGTTACAACATATTTCATATTAGCACATGAAGTAATTAACCCTTTGACTGTTTTGGTCATGCATATAAGTCTTACGAGCCAGTGTTTTTGATGTATTTATACTCCAAAATTCCAGCGGCTTCAAATCAAGCAGGAGAAAGCTGGTAGGCCCACATGGGAGAGAATGGGTGTGTGTGGTCAGTGTGCACAGTATAAAAAAAATCCTGCAGCAAGCAGTGCATAATGAGAAAAAAAAAAAAACTGACTGTATTTTTGAAATAAAACGCCAACTTTGAGGTGTATTTTCGTATAGCATTTATGGTTGTATTCTCATTTTCTTGGTCTCATTTGATAGAATGGAAGACATATTACAGAAATAGAGATAATTTTGATTGGTTTCACGATGAAAAGAACCTTGAAATTGAGCTCAAAATAGTGGAAATGTTCAATTTTTGCCAATGTTCAAGTATAAACAAATGATGTCATTGTCCAATAAGTGTCCAATTAGCCATTCTAATATGCAGTCATAAATGGGTTGACATTATTTATACAATTATTACAATAATGCAGCAGTCTGCATAACAGTAAATCTTCTATTTTTTTATGTGACAAAAAATTCAAAAGAGAAAGCAAGAGTAATATAAGAGGGCCCTGGAGACATGACTGATGAACAGAGAAAAATGTTGTTTTAGTGCCAGGAATGTCTGCATTTTTCATTCTGGACCCTCTTTTGAAATGGCATCTTTTTTAATTTGCATGAAACTGACCAAATTGCAAATTTCTGACCACTTTATTGGGTAGTTGAAATCAGTAAATGGGCAGTTTCTTGTACTCGATAGAGCAAATGGAGTTATAAAGAAACAGCTATGAGTTTGGTCGACTGGAGCAATGGAATTGGTCGAAAATAGGGCTCAAACTGGGCAAAATCACCGATGTGTAAACATCGCCGAGATCGCTAATTTCGCAACAGCGTAATTCCGTAAGTTTTCCATCAAATTTTGTACTTTTGGTGTCATTACCATCGGGGTAAAGATTCTCTATCATTTCATAAGAAAAAATAATTTTTTTTTTCCGAAAATTTTGCAACACAGAGAGACACTTGAGGATTTGGGGTCGTAACAGTCAAAGGGCTAAGTATAATGTTATACAAGTACCGTATTTTACAGTATTGAAGACACTATTTTTTCACAAATAAATCTCGTAAATTAACCCAGCATCTTGGAGGCTGAAGTACCATTTATCTTTTTTTCCAAAATTTAGCCAGTCGGAATTAGGGGGGCATCCTCAACACTAGAGTGTCTTGTTACCGTAAAATATGGTATATAACACCAGAATAATATACTTAGTACAGTTTCTTAAAATAAAAAAGACAAATAAAGACGTTTGCAAACAAGCGTGCATGAGCGTGTTAGATAGGAGTGAATGGAGACGAATGATACTTGGGACCTGACGATCTGTTGGAGTGTGAGCAGGGTAATATTTAGTGAAGGGATTCAGGGAAACTGGTTATTTTCATATAGTCGGACTTGAGTCCTGGAAATGGGAAGTACAATGCCTGCACTTTAAAGGAAGGGTTTGGGATATTGGCAGTTTGGAGGGATATGTTGTGTATCTTTATACGTATATGCTTCTAAACTGTTGTATTCTGAGCACCTCTGCAAAAGCAGTGATAATGTGTGAATGTGGTGAAAGTGTTGAATGATGATGAAAGTATTTTCTTTTTTTCTGGGGATTTTCTTTCTTTTTTGGGTCACCCTGCCTCGGTGGGAGACGGCCGACTTGTTGAGAGAAAAAAAAAAAAAAAAAAAAAAAAAGCAAACATGAATTTACTAGTAAGTACCATAACATTTTTGAAGGCTTGTTATAATTAAGTGAAATAAGTTCCAGAAAATTAAATTTCACGGGAGAAATTTAAAAATTCCCTAAACAACAGCCATGTTACAAAGAAAGATTCAGTTTTAGCCTGTAAACTGACATTGTCAATATATGCCGTGTAGCTGCCAAATCCAATTTTCTTTATATTTGTTTATTCGTTTGTTAGCCAAAAATATTTTAAGGTAAGTAATGTGCGTACTGTACATTAATTTTATTTATCATTTTTCTAGGCCTAGCTCTAGTGCACAATTAATATATGAGAGCGTAAACATGTTATCAGGCTTTTAAATGCCTTCTGAAGACAAAAAAGACAGCTGTTTTACTTTGTGGTGATTTTTGCATTTTAGTAGTAGCCGAGGACATAACCTGCCATATAAGTGGGGCCCACTTTACAGCAGGCTTGGATGAAGAAGTACCCATTGTGTTGCTAACTTGCATCAGCTGAGCAGTCTGGCTAATATACACCAAATTCATATCTAGATGAAACTCTTCATGTCCTTGATACCACAAAAGACACTTTAGCAACATTCTCTCTCAAGGTGTTAAGGCCCATTTTTGATGGGATGAGAAACATCAGTGGTGTTGTGAAATAGTAGCACAAATTAAAGTGATGCTGACAGCAGTGGTGCTATATACATGTATCATATTATGTTAATATGAAAGTTGCTCATAAAAAATACATTTTGTAAGTTTATGTGGTCCATCTTGAGCCCCTGCAGTGAGGTGCTTCAGTAGTGAGCCTCACAGTGTATATCAACCTCCTTCACAAACTACAACACACTGAAATGCACATCAAAATTTTTTGTCAGATACATAATAGTATAAATACTTTGATATGTGAAGTATACCTTCATGAGATCCTCCGGTAGTTGGCACACTTTACTGGGATATATCTCAGCAATAAAGGTGACCATCTTAAAGTAATGTGAGCAAAGTGCTGGTAATCGCAGAAGCTCACGGGACATAAGAGGCATAATTATATTGAGGCCAAATAAGCAAACATCAGCAGCAGCTACAACTTCTTGATCTTCACCATGACCAGATGGGGCAAGGTCAATGAAATCCTGAAAATCAACATATTCAGTTATTTTAAACAATTAAAAAGGGCTATTACAGAGAGCTTGTGAACTTCAAGTCACTCTCTGATCAATAATAATCTTAATGTAAATAAAACAGAATTACATTTCATAAAGTAGTGAAAAGGATTGGAATCAACAATAGTAAACTTGAACATTAAAATGGTATAAAATACCGACAGGTTGTTAGGTAAGACACATATGCAACAGTTAGGTATCTTTATTACGAAACGTTTCGCCTACGCAGTAGGCTTCTTCAGTCGAGTACAGAAAAGTTGATAGAAGCAGAAGAGACTTGAAGACGATGTAATCAGTCCATCACCCTTAAAATTTTGAGGTGGTCAGTCCCTCAGTCTGGAGAAGAGCATTGTTCCGAAGTCTGAAACAATATGTTCTGCTTCTATCAACTTTTCTGTACTCGACTGAAGAAGCCTACTGCGTAGGCGAAACGTTTCGTAATAAAGATACCTAACTGTTGCATATGTGTCTTACCTAACAATAGTAAACTTAACACTTTCACATAAATACTGTATGATGAAGCTATAGCTAACTAACAATTATTTTATGTTTTCAATGGAGTTGTCAAATTACCTTTGAGAGAAGTGATGTAAGAAGTTCCATGAGCAATTGAAGATCTCTCCACTGGTCTTCTTCACCACGGGATTCCAGCGTTCTTCGTCCTATGTTGTGCTTGGCGTAAGTACCAACCAAATGTACTGATGCTTCATACAACTGCTTGCTTGCACTCTTAAGAAAAACAGAGATATGTATTTACATATAAATCTTTGGCATTTATATGTATTTAGCACCACAAACACTTCATACAGCTCCTTACATAAACTATTATGCCAGATATATAAAAGTATGCACACTTATGTACTGTGTACAGAGGCTGAATAGTAAGTGTACCACAGGGTGATAAAAGATGGCAAAACCAGAAACCAGAGAGAGTGCCCTGTATCAATCAGAAGCTCAGGCAAGTCTGAATTCGCTTACCGCAAGTGAACACATTGTTTCTGCTTTGTTGGGCTTGCCTGTGATTGGCCAATGAACCAAGGTACTGATTTAGTGATGGGTGCCCTATTGATCATTAAACCCTTAACACCTGGTTTGCTGATTGGGAGGCAGCCTATATGAGAGTGTGACATACACTGAATAGAATGTAACATATTCTTACCATGCCACATACATGCTCTACAAAAATATGACAAAATTATTAAGAAACAAAAATCTGAAAATGTGAGAAATGGACTAAAAAATGTTTATGCACTTGAAAGAAAGAAAAAAAAGAAAAGTGTGCTTGGACCATTGTTATGGAATGTCTACTTCAATGACCTTCAACTTATCCAAGAATCCCACACATATGCAAAGCACTACTCTGGCATTTACTTTTCCAAGAGAGGAACACCAGTTGCTTTACTTACATCAATCATTAGCTTACAGCTATATCAGCCTGGGATAAATGACGGCAGGTAACATTTACTTCTGAGAAAACACAAATGATGATGGTCTTTAAAAACCATGATGGTAATGCTGGAACAGTGGTAAGAACGAATGAGAGAGTGGTACGCGGGGACAAAGCTGATATCTTTGGGGTGAAATCTGTCCATGAAGAACCATGTTGTAAATTCTGTAAACAAAGCAACCAGAAAGCTTACAGCACTTAGATGTATCTCACTTCTGCTCGACAGTAGAGGCAGCAAGACTCTGCATGAGGCACAAGTATCCTCACACCTTGAATATATAGTGGAACCTCTACTTACGAGTTTAATCCGTTCTGTGACCTTGCTAGTGTCTGGATTTGCTCATTTGTAGAGTCAATTTTCCTCATTTAAATTAACTGAAATGCAATTAATCCGTTCCGGCTCTCAGGAGGCACAACAAGATACTTCAATATTTCCCTAATATCAACTCTACAGCTTATTTATCTATCACAATTCATCTAATATTACATAATAAACAATATTAATAACATAGAAACATGATATATACACTAGAATGAATGAAAGATGTCATTACGTATGTGAGTAGTGGTAATGGAGGCAGCAGCCATTGTTGTTGTTGGGGTGTACAGGGCAACCACAGCAGCTATTCCTGCTGACTACACCTCTTCCTGCTAACTACACCTCTTCCTGCTGACTACACCTCTTCCCATGACTCACGAAATTGTAATGACACGATTGCAAACAAACCTTACCACGGGTGGGGTTTGAACCCCCGGTTCAAACGCTACGGTCTGGAGTTTTGAGACTGTGACCGCAGGTTCAAACCCCACCTGTGGTATGGTTTGTTTACCTTCCCATACTTTTATTATAACAGAAAATGGAGTGTTTATCAGGCAAACTGCATTAGATTACGTAGTTTTATAAGGAAAATAATAATAATAACAATAATTTAGAGTAGAGAAGAAATGTTGGCAGTTGATGTTGGAGAAGAGATGCTGGTGAAGGTTGATGTTGGAGAAGAGATGCTGGCGAAGGTTGATGTTGGAGAAGAGATGCTGGCGAAGGTTGATGTTGGAGAAGAGATGCTGGCGAAGGTTGATGTTGGAGAAGAGATGCTGGTGAAGGTTGATGTTGGAGAAGAGATGCTGGCGAAGGTTGATGTTGGAGAAGAGATGCTGGAGAAGGTTGATGAGAGAGAAGAGATGCTGGCGAAGGTTGATGAGAGAGAAGAGATGCTGGCGAAGGTTGATGGTGGAGAAGAGATGCTGGCGAAGGTTGATGAGAGAGAAGAAATGCTGGCGAAGGTTGATGAGAGAGAAGAGATGCTGGCGAAGGTTGATGAGAGAGAAGAGATGCTGGCGAAGGTTGATGAGAGAGATGCTGGGTACAGCTGCGTATGCTGTCAGGAGTTCATTTCGTTTCGTCCTTTTTCTATTGCTTAATTGCTTAATTGCTACACTCGTAAGTAGATCTACGTTTTTTAACATATTTTCAAAAAAAAAAAAAAAAAGTAGATCAAAGTTTTTTTACAAGTTTTGAAATGTAAAAAAAGAAAAAGAAGCTCTATGTTTTTTTAACATACTTTCAAATGTTGAAAAAACGTAGATCTGCGTTTGAACAGTTTAATGGTTAATGGTACACTCTTAATGCTACACTCTTAATAGTACACTCTGAATGCTACACTCTTAATGGTACTCTTAATGCTACACTCTTAACCCTTTGACTGCTTTGGTCGTATATATACGTCTTACGAGGTACCGTGTTTGACGTATACGTACTCATTAATTCTAGCGGCTTCAAATCAAGCAGGAGAAAGCTGGTAGCCCCATATGTGAAAGAATGGGTCTGTGGGGTCAGTGTGCACCATATAAAAAAAATCCTGGAGCATGCAGTGCATAATGAGAAAAACAACTACGACTTTTTTTTTAATCAGAATGCCGACTTTGTGGTCTATTTTCGTATAGTATTTATGGCTGTATTCTCGTTTTCTTGATCTCATTTGATAGAATGGAAAACATATTATAGGAGTGAATGGAGACAAATGGTTTTTAATACTTGACGTGCTGTTGGAGTGTGAGCAAAGTAACATTTATGAAGGGATTCAGGGAAACCGGCAGGCCGGACTTGAGTCCTGGAGATGGGAAGTACAGTGCCTGCACTCTGAAGGAGGGGTGTTAATGTTGCAGTTTAAAAACTGTAGTGTAAAGCACCCTTCTGGCAAGACAGTGATGGAGTGAATGATGGTGAAAGTTTTTCTTTTTCGGGCCACCCTGCCTTGGTGGGAATCGGCCAGTGTGATAATAAAAAAAAAAATTATAGAAATAGAGCTGATTTTGATTTGTTTTACTATGAAAAGAACCTTGAAATCTAGCTCAAATTAGGAGAAATGTTTGATTTTTGCCGATGTTCAAAAGTAAACAAACGATGTCATTTTCCAATAAATGTCCAAGTAGCCATTCTAATATGCAGTCATGAATGGGTTTACATTATTCATACAATTATTACAATATTGCAGTAGTCTGTATAACAGTAAATCTTCTAATTTTTGTTTGAATAAAAATTCAAAATAGAAAGCAAGAGTAATATCAGAGTGGCCTGGAGACTTGACTGATGAACAAAGAAAATGTTATTTTAGAGCCAGGAATGTCTGCATTGTTCATTCTGAACCTTATTTTGAAATTGTCATATTTTTTAATTTTTGTGAAATTGGTCAAATTGCAAATTTCTGACCATGTTATTGGGTAGTTGAAATCAGTAAATGGGCAGTTTCTTGTACTCAATCGATAGAAAAAATGGAGTTCTAAAGAAATAGCTATGAGTTTGGTCGACTGGAACAATGGAATTAGCCGAAAATAGGGCTCAAAGTGGGCGAAATCTCCGATTTGTAAATATTGCCAAGGTCGCTAACTTCGCGAGAGCATAATTACGTCAGTTTTCCATCAAATTTTGTTTTTTTTTGGTATCATTACAATCGGGAAAAGATGCTCTATCATTTCATAAAAAATAATTTTTTTTTTTTGAAATTTTGCGACACCAGGAGACACCTCAGGATTGGGGGTTGCGACAGTCAAGGGGTTAATGGTACTCTTAATGCTACACATTGTCACTCATGTCACTTCACTATTCACTGATTTTTGGCTTTTTCTCTTCTCAGCACTTGCATCTGCACTTGCAATTTGCACTTGCTTTCTTAGGACCCATGGTTAGAAACAAGAAATTCTGCAAAATAATGGCACGAAATGTAAGCAAATCATGAGAATTATCTCCACGGTGAGTTGAAGCACACATGGAATGAGCATTGTTTTGATACACAATACTGCCATCTGCTGGTGGCGCTCTCAAACTCACTTATAGTATTATTATACGTAATTATTATAGTACAGTGGACCCCCGGTTAACGATATTTTTCACTCCAGAAGTATGTTCAGGTGCCAGTACTGACCGAATTTGTTCCCATAAGGAATATTGTGAAGTAGATTAGTCCATTTCAGACCCCCAAACATACACGTGCAAACGCACTTACATAAATACACTTACATAACTGGTCGCATTCGGAGGTGATCGTTATGCGGGGGTCCATTGTATTACTGTTATTAGTACGTACGTATTATAATAATTTATATTATACTGCGTATATTATTATATAATTGTTATATGTATTATTATTATTATTTCTTTTTACCTACGTATTCTTATAATAATACTCTTGCTTACCATTTGCAATTATTACTCACGCAAAAAAACAGAAGATTTACTGTTATGCAGACTACTGCATTAATGTAATAATTGTACAAATAATGTCAACCCATTCATGACTGTGTATTGGAATGGCCACTTGGACAGGTATTGGATGGTGACATCATTTGTTTACTCCTAAAAATCAGCAAAAATAAAACATTTCTGCTACTTTGAGCTCAATTTCAAGGTACTTTTCATTGTGAAACCAATCAAAATCATATCTATTTCTGCAATATATCTTCCAGTCTATCAAATGAGATGAAAAAAATGAGAATACAACAATATGAAAATATACTGCTAAGGGGCGGCTAATGGCTGAGAAGTGAACTCCGTTATTTATGGTCCAATTTCTTTCAATTTTGGTGTACATTAAGAAGCATCTTTCCATCATACACTGCCCAAGTTTCAATAAGATAGTCTAACAAATGAGATCCAATTCCCTAGATCAAGATCAAGAGCCCCTCACCAGCGTCAAGGAATCTCCCTTGAGGCCCGCTTGCATCTGGAAATTCGCTCGCATCTAGAAGCAAAAAATCGACCAAGCAACTGCTCATGTCTGGAAAA